AGACGACACCCGGGTATCACGACTTTCCACTAGGATCCATGGAGGTAAGTATACACTTCGTCTACAAGCACGGAGCATCGAATAGGCACGTTACCCTAACTTCTACGGAAAATTCTGGATTTGAAAACGCTGGACACAAAATCCAGTGGATTTCTCGTGGAAAGACATCAGACAACGAGAATCCTTACCTTTGCGCATATCTTTTACTTTACTAGGCTCTGAACTCATAGATATACATATTTTCTAGCCGCTAACGAAAATTGATTGAGCTTACCAGCATTACAGTATGGTCCAAGGAATGCATTGATGTGTTCGATGTGGTAAAGATCAGCGGCTGCGGCCACTCCCTCGAAGGCTTCTCCACATCCATTGCGTGAGATGATCCTGAAATTACAGTTATTGGGTTTGGCGATTTTATTGACGATTCTATCCTCTTTTTGCAGAAAACGACCTCATTTACAGTGCTTGTCTGTGGGCAGTGAGGGGGTGGGGGTAGCCGCGATGGCCGCCTGAGGGTCCAGACGGAACAGAAGTAGAGACGCATGTATATTAGGGGAGGTCGGTGTTTGCTTCCGTGGGACGCTCTCGGATATGCACTGGAGACGATCGTAATTTTCGCATCGTCCACTCACCGTGCGTCGGTGCGCGGCGAATTCTCGATGTGCAGTTTGTCGATTGGAGCAGTGGAACTCAGGGAAATTCATGCGAATGCAAGATTATATTCGGAGTTATGTATATATCTCTATGGTCGAATTCAAACGACCGGGCAGGGCAACACGTCTATAGCGTGCGCGGCGTCGCTCGCCACGCCTTGCGCGGCATATTACCATTATCTTCTCACATACTCGTATGTACAGTATATCTCACGATGTCTCTGACTCATTCAGATCCAGGGCTCTGGGTCCAGTGCCATGGGGGGAGGGCCACGCCTATGAACTTTTCAATATACGCTTTTCTTTTTGTTTTATCTTTTACAACCGTGCCTCACCCCGCAAGTAGTGCAAGTTCTTATCAAGTACCCTGTTAACTCCTGTCAAACATGGCAATATTTTTCAATTTCTCCATTTTTTTCCAAATCATAACCGTCACTTTGACGAAGTTGGCAGGAGACAACACTGAATTTGACAGGTGATACCAAGTCTTATAGAGTGAAAAAAGGTTGATCGGTATTCACAAGTATACAATTTACAGGATTTACCAAGCTGACGAGCGCTCACAGGTGCACCCCCCCCCCCCCCAGGATTATTAGGGTCGTTCCTTCTGGAATGCTTATTGTTTTGTCCTAGAGCGTCGAGTCTGACTGATTGTGAATCAAGCACGAAAAAACAAGAATAAATGACATACTCAATGTCGAAATCATCTCCAAGCGTTCCGTCATCGAGAAGCTCCTGCCTAGCAAGATCCAGGACCTTTTCGTAGTTTGGCATAGCTCCAATCGCTCCAATGTGTCCAATCAAGATCTTCAATGGAAAAGATTCAGGCGATATTGGAGGACAACCCACTGCAACCCAAAACGGCTTAATCAAAAAAAACGACATACCACATTTGTTCGATTCGAAGCTGTTTTGAGGAACTGCGTATGTGCCTCAGGTAGCTCTACGTAGATAAGCGCTACTGCCAAAGAGTAGATGGTCCATATGGAGAATTGCATCAGCACACACCAGTGCCACTCCGCAACTGTTAAGAGTGAACAAGAGTAATGGGAGGATTTAGTTCAGTAAGCCTAATCAGCCTTCTTGCATGATTAAATTAATCGCAAACACCTAGCTATATTTTCCATATAATCAGTTAGAGTACCAGCTGATAACGATCCCACTGAGCAAGCAGCTCCCTCTCAGCTTAGAGCGGTGAGCCGGATTGACTTATCATTATCCACCGTGCACCGAAAGTAGTCGAGTGGTTATACGAGTGAATATACGGCGGTCTCAGTCTTCCTCCAGGATGAGTGGGACAAGATTGTAACTTCAAGATAACAGAAGGTATACAAGACCCCAAAATTGCGCTTGAAATCAAATGCGGAACAGTGATTCGAATTTTCGTTGCTCTTAAATCTAGCGCTCTCAGGAGGACCAAGATTTCTAGGCGGGGAGGCGGATCGAGGCGAATTCGACTTCCACCGACAGCTTAGGATGTGGCGACGGTGTTGCGTAGGCGTCCGATAAGGATGTTGGGAGCTCTTGAAAGGGAAAAGCACCTGAGCCTTTAATTATTCGTCTAGAGTACTGTATGCTCCTGTTAGCCTATTAGGTTGGCGGGAAAGTTCTGTCACTTTTTCGAACTCAAAATATTTGCCCATTACCTGAAGAGGGGTGAACGGTAATGTGAGCACTTATACATCAAAGAGTGGTCTTTCTATTAGTACCACTCGCTTGACTCCTGCTCCTCCTCATTCTGCAATAAGGACAAGGATGTTATCCGCTACATCGCCATCGACCCCTCCAAATGCTTCTGATAGTGCAGCGCACTTCCAAAAAAGTTCTAGCCGTTCCTCATGCAATAGAGCTGGATGGCTCTCCCCTTGCAGTGGTGTAGCACAGACATTGCTCCTTCTAACTGCGAGTTGCCTCCCGTAATCAATCATTACTGGACGAGAAATTACGAGAAAACCTCGAAAAGTCTGAGTTCAAGCCAAGATTGAGATGATGTCCAACTTTGTATCGCGCCTCCCTGCATTGTGAAGCGATGGCATCCATGAGGTGCTCAAAAACAGGCAAGGACCCCGCAGTAACATTGCTGTACAATTTTGATCTTACACGCCTCTCTATAAAAAGAAAGCCCAATTTGAAAAAAGTGACACTTTCCCTCCAACCTAGTTTGCTTGTGGGAAACATACTGTGATTAATGAAGGATGCCTCCGCAATTTCAAAGGCATAAGGCACGATAATTTGGTACTCACAATCAGTCTGAAATGGTAGCTGGGGTGGGAAATATAGCGAAAAATCGAGGTGAAACGATAAATAACCTGCAGTAAAGGCCCTTGTTACACGCGACTTAGCAAGCGATTTCGGACGAGTTCCTCGCTGGCGTCGTGCCAATACACGCCACGGTAGATGGCTGCATGTATGTACTCATATATCCATGCAGCACCGCAGCCGCTTCATATTAGCCCCTTCGCTTCATAATGTACTTCGCAAATGAAGCGATACGAGCATCAGCATCGTTCGGAAAGTAGTGGACGGGAGGGCATGGCGGTCGGCCAGGTCGGTATGTTGTAGCTCGATGGGCGCTACAAGGGTACCCTGCTTCCATCCTGCGCTTGCTCAGGAGCGCGGAATTCCGTTCTGCCAGACTTATTAATCCCACTCGTCTTAGGAACTTATGCTGAACACCGATTTCTCTGGGTATACCATACGCTGTTCAGCTTGAGGGGGAGGGGAGAAAGGGTGGCATTCTGCGCTTTTGTTAGTTCATATTGCTCAACAGGTCTTACTTTAGTGAAACTTGTATAATCTTGTTAAGCTGCGGAATGGTACAAGTGAGCCGCTTTATTTGAAGTACTTTGCGATTTCCACAAGGCTACCTGCACAAGTTTTACTGAGTACCAATTGTAGAAAGCTCGCGACTTTGGTTTGCTCCAGGTTCATTTTCTACCATTCATCTCTAGGTAACTCCTTTATGAAGCCCGACACCCGAGTGATCCTAGAAGGCGTTCCTGATGAATGATCCTGTTCTGAAGGTATCACTCCTCAGATGTAAATCGTGTGGTGATGGTTGTACATATTTCCCTTCTTGCTGTACAACATGATGACGTTCAAAAGGCGAATGCAATTGCTCGACAATTTTCTTGTGCATTTTCGTCACAAAATGATGTTGATACCACATATTTACAAGGACGCCCCTGTCTTAGGAAACACTGAGGAACCTCAGTGTGGATCAAAATGATGTATTTAAATATTTAAATATGTAGAGATACTAAAATCATGGATGTCAGAACCATATGATGGAGTCCCTCCAACACTATTTAATCGTTGCGCTAAAAGCCTCTGTAAACCACTTACCATAATCTTCAACATTTCACTATTTCTTGAATCAGTCGCTTCCCTGTGGAAAGAGGCTTTAGTCACTGCTATTCCAAAAGTTCCTAACACACGTTTAGTCACCAATTTCAGACCCATGAGCAACCTCTTCTGCTGGCAAAATACTAGAAAAATCCTGAGAGATAAACTTGTGGGATGGCTTACTAAGCATCACCTGATCCCTAATGAACAACACGGCTTTTCGAAAGGTGCATCTACCGCTACACAGCTTCTCGATAGCACCTTCGACGGTCTTCTGCTTTGAACTCGAAACATTCTATGATATTATATACTTCGACATCTCAAAAGCATTTGATAAAGTGAATCACACGAAACTCATACTGAAGTGTAAAATGATTGGTCTCGATGGAAAATTATTGAACTGGCTAGTCTCATATCTTTTAAAACGTCACATATGGGTGGAGGTTGGCAACGCCTTCTCAGAACGTAATCCATGTGCCAGCAGAGTGCCCCAAGGTGGGGTACTTCCCCCGATTTTGTTTCTCATCTACTGCCTTGATCTCCCAACTGTATTGAGAACCCACCATTCAGTGAAAATACAGATTTATGCAGACGCCATCAAAATCTATGAAATTTAATCAAAAAAACTATTGTGAGTTGTACAATGCCCTTTCTGACTCCATTAAGCAAGTTGATGGAATCGTCCCGTGATTGGAATCTACCCATAAATGTGACTAAGTCCTTCGTATTCCATATTGGACATGGTCCCTGCTCCTAATATCGCTATGAAGGCATTACACTACAGAGACGAAATTTTGTGAAAGATTCGGATGTAGCTTACCTACCTACTATTGACTTCTCTAATCATATAAATGAGATCGTTGGTAGCTCTAAATTCCATCTACTTCATTTTTGGAAATGTGCACAGCAAGGATAGAACCATTTTTCTTAGACTTTATAAAGCATATGTGATCCCAAAGCTTGAGTACTGCTGTCAGGTATAGAGTCCACACTTACGCAAGTAACAAATGAAAATCGAAGTACAACGAACTTTCACAAGGCTTGTTATGTATAGGTGTGGATCGGTCTCTGTCCATCCCGCGTATGCTATTCCTAACTATTATGAGAGGCTGAGCTTTTCGGACTGAGAACTCTTTTTATCGGAGAATTCACCATGACTTCGTTTTCTGTTTCCGAGTACTGCGCAGACTGCGGAGACCAAATCCAAGCAAGTACTGGGTTTCCAGGCCTAGTAGTGGGCGATCAAATAATTTTATCTTAGACAATCGTTCGATAAAAAGACCGCACTGTTCCAAAATTTACAACTCCTTTTTTTGCCGAACTGCAAGATGGTTACAAATACTGCCAGAAGATATGGTGAGTTCCCCAAATTCTTCATTTTTCGTCGAAACTTAAGTAAAGTGAATATACTGTCACCACTGAACATTGAAGATTTTTAGTTTATGCTTTTTTCACGAAATCAATCTCAGTGCTATGAGCTTCAATGAAGAAAAGTCGCTGACCCTGATAAGATCGCTTTCTAGGCATCTCCGCTACTTTTTAAAACCACTGTTGCCATGTAATCTAACTTCAAATTTACTACATTTTCTGCTTCGCTGATTTGCAGTCTGATCCCTTCCCACCACCTTTTCTGAAGTCATCCCTGTATATCACCCACAATCTTTGTATAGAGCAGTAAATTACATTCGCCTCAACTCAAGCCGTGACCAGCAATACTCACATAGAATCAGAAATGTGTCAACACATTCTTAATATCACGTCATAAAACTCAGTTTGGTTGATGAAGGTCAACAGGTGCCGGTTCGTTTATCCAACTGGTTACTTGGGCCTGGGTCTTACGCCTGGGGTTCGTATTTAGATCAAAGAGGCAGCTACTTTGGCCCGCCCCGGAATAACCACGGTTAGTTGCGTTGCTGACCTTTCATCAAATGTTATCAATCCGAAATAACTCAACATCAGTATTGTATTGTGCAGTCGTGGGGGAGAGGGTAAGAGGCAAAAATATGAAATTTTGATCAGTTTATTTTAGTAAATAAGCATTTCTAATTAGTGAAGGACCTTGAACATTTGTGATAAGGTCACCTGAGAAGCTTACGAAGGTGTTTCGTTATCCATGATTCTCACCACTCAGATTAAAAGGTTGTTAATCTAGACTAAGAAGCTTTGCCTACTCCCACAGGAAAAAGAATTAACTACTGACCTTTTCAGCATAATTTCCTAAAAAGCTTTTGAAATCTCGATGGGTATTACGCGGCGATAGCCCGTTTTCTACCAGTTGTAGCTTGGTGGGGGAACGGGGACGCACTAAGACTAATGAAATTTTTGCTGTTCCCAGATCGGTCCTTTCAGAACGTGTAAGAGGTGTAGCCGAAACGAGTCGCTCACCATAGGGAGAACCCTCCTACCGTTATACGGCACCTTTCTCGCTTCGGGTCTCCTTCTGAGTGGCCGACGGTTTGCGTGAAGCAAGCAAGCAAGCAACCAGTTTTGCGCTGCATGTCGACAGGGAGAGCCTGCCGACTGCTACCCGAAGACTGCTCCTGCCTGCTCCCGCGTCGCCTCTGGGGCTCGCCGACTTCCTAGCCCCGCTGTCGACCGTCATCATCTACTTCGACTACACTGAACACTGAATCCCTATTCCACCTTGATCGCCTTATTGTTCCAATAAATCTGATTCGCTAGTCAACTGTAATGAAGGCAACACTCAGGGATTCGCGAGCGGTAAGCTCGCACATATTACTGGTAGCAGCGAGTCTCGACCGTGGAGCAGGTGAGTCCCCTTTTTGGCCCTGTTGGGCCTTCTCGAGAAAATGAGCCTGGCCACCTCATTTTTGCTCGGGGTAATCATCTACGGGGGGACACAGAACTTTCATTTTGGCAGTTTTCTCTTCGCTTTTGCTAGAAAGTAGTTAGGTTTCAGTTGCTTGTGCTTGTCTTTTTACTTTGAGGTAGGCTGGGAAATACCGTGTCCGAATTCGGCGTAGAGATGACTAGCGTAGATCAAATCGATTCTTTGACTTACGACATTTGAATGTGGCCGCATGACTTCCGCCTCTTTCGTCTTTCCCATGGAATTTTTTTCCTCTTTCTACTTTTTTGAGCAGTTGGCTAGTTTCACATGACAGTCCGAATTCGTGCTCTGTTTTCTCGACCCGAAGGAAGGGATGGCATTTGACACTCTTTGTTCAAGACAGCTTTTCTTCTTCTGGAATTGTGAGCCATGTTGCCCTTCTCATGCCCGCTTTTCTTTGTTCATGTCTTTTCTTTGTCTTACTCGAGAATGGGAACTGACGCAGGCTTTGTCGTGAAAACTCTAAAACGGTTACTGTAGCGCTCCACCGCATGAGATCTTTCGAATTTGAAGTTGCCCCGAGGCCTGATGGGTCTTTAACGAGAGTATTTGATCATAGTCGCTGTTGGTTATGAGGACGTCCGCGTCGTTCAGTGTACGGAATTATCTTCACTTCGTTGAAGAGTCTTTCGATGAATTTGGCATTGAGGTTTGACGAATAGTAAATTGAGTAACTCTGCAGTAAGTCAAGTTGTGCAATCACTTCAAGGAAGAGGGGTACCCCGGCATTGCCTTTCTGAGAAGAAATAGAGGGAAATGACCATTTGCTTAGAATTTTGCTTTCAGCTGGCACTAACTTCGTTACTTCTGTCTTTTATGCTCTTGTCTACTTCCACAGCCTTTATTTGCCGTCTTGCAATAACAGTACTCGCTTGGACTTCACGAGCAGTTTAACGGTTTCCCTCTTGGCCTGACCTCTGCCCTCGGGTTACTGTACGGACACGCCCCCTCCCTCCTCACTATATAAGGAGGCCTGTAGTCCTTGCCTCACCCGTCTGCTACTGTTCGTCAGTATCGTCTTCGTTCACGTCTTCGCTATGCCGACTACCCGAAGTGGTGCGACATCCGGAGTTCCTTCTCCTCCATCGACTGGAGCTGCTGCTCCTATGCTGGTCACGGAGGATTATGCGGTAATCGGAGCTGCTGCTCCTTCCACTGAGCCTTTACCGCCTTTACCTGGCGCTCTCACTGCGCCCTTGGATGACTCCCTTTCCAGGATGGAGGATGCTGAGATTGTTCACGCACGGGATGCCAAGGCCCTACGGATGCTGCTTCGATAGCTATTACTCAGGTGTGGAGAGACGCCCGGTCTCAGACGTCAGCCCTGGCTCAGAAAATTAATGAAGGTAACACTTCATTGTCTCGTAAGTTGAATGAGTCCTTTTCAGCGGTCGGTAGCCGTCTTGATTCTCTTCCGACAGTTGCCATGCTTGGGTCTGATTCGCAAGCCCCCAGGGTGATACCTTTTTCAGGTACCACGGAAGAAGGCCCTCAGTTCTCCATATGGCTTCGTAGGTTGGAAGGACGTCATTAGGATGCGCCCGGTCTCTCTGTCCAGTGAGCAGAAAGCCAATTTTCTGATTGGCTATCTCGACGGGGTTGCTCGGGAGAAGGTGGAGGAACTAGACGACGAAGCTCGGAAGAACTTCGACCTCGTCACTGGTCATCTTCGAGCTTTCTTCGAGAGTCCTCAGCAGAGGTATGTAGCTCGACAGAAGTTGTCCTCCTGTCGTCAGGAACCCGGTGAGTCGTCCTCGTCCTTCGCCAATAGGGTGCTTAATTTGGTTAGAGCTGCGACCGCTGGTCAGGACCCCCTGACTCAGAAGGACAGGGTGCTGGAGGAATTCGTCGCCCGTCTCCGAGGGGATATCAGGTATTTCGTTAAACTTGACAACCCTTCTACATTTGAACAGGCTGTCACCAAAGAGCAACTCCTCAGCGAGGCAACAGCTGACCGGCTTATCCATCCTGGTCGTCCGGAGGCATCCGTCAACGTGGTAGAGCAAGGTAACGCAGGTCGTAATCAGGTATACAACAGGTCAAATAAGAACGGTAACTATCAGAGAAATTATCGTCGTCTTGACAGCGATCAACGTCGACCTTTTCAGGCTGCTAATGCTCCTCGACCTGCTCCGGCCCGTCGGCCCGATCCCCGCCCCAGCCGGTGTTACAACTGTGGTGGACTTGGGCATTGGGCAACTAATTGTTCATCGCCTCCGAACAACAGGAGAGACAGGTCGGTTCCTTTACGAGTTACCCCATCTAAGGGTGCCGTTCTCGAAGTCAAGGACTTTTTCATACCTGGCCCTGACCGTCGCGAGCTTCATCTTATTATTCTGGACCAGTACGCCACTAACGTCGAAAGCAACAC